AAGAAAAAGAGCTAAGTATGCAGAAAAATCTTCTCGACAATTGGAAATAAACGCCTCCATTTACATCCTGAACTCGAAGAAACTTTCATTTTTAAAATCTTTAATTTTACATAAAATATCTTAATCGAAATGTCCTTACAGTTTTAATGAAATAAAATTTAATAAAGTTTCCTCGTTGTTATTTATATTTGATATTTATATCTGATAAACAAAGAAAGAGTCCATATTAAAAACAAACAAAAAAAAAATTAAATGAGTTGTAAATATCATGTGACCTTGTGAGGTCATGCTTAAAATCAAATGACTTCATTTAAAATAACATCAACTTTCGATTACTATTTTAAAATGAAAGTGTGAAAAAATTGGTAGATATTTCTTTTTGTTTTATTAATTTATTTTTCTTTTCTTTGTAAGTGGGACGGACAAGGTAAAAAATAAAAAATCGAAATTAATGAAAATAAGCCGAGATTTCATGCAAAAGAAAATCTTACGTAACATTGTTTAAATTAAAACGAAATACATACGGACAATGGAAGAATGTTTGTTTTGCCAAAGAGAGATGGACAGACGGCAAGAATAGCAAAAAGAAGGAATAGAAAAACGGATTTACCAATTGTCAAGGTCAGATAAATGATTCAAATATAAACAAAGCTGTTCGTTGGATGTCCAGTATGAGTTGATACTAAAACATCTATCAATCTCTCTCTCTCTCTCTCTCTCTCTCTATCTCAGTCTGTTCTATTCATATCTATTTTAGTCTGTTCATATCTATCTATCTGTTTATCTATCGATCGATCTCACTCTATTCGTATCTATCTATCTATATTGATTGATCGATCGATTTCAATCTCTCTCTCTCTCTCTCTCTCTCTATCTATCTATCTATCACTGTCTGTTCATATCTATGTCTCTATCGATCACAGTCTGTTCATAACTTCTCTCTCTATCTCAGTCTATTCATACCTATCTGTGTATCTATTTATCGATCTCAGTCTATTCATATCTATCTATCTATCTATCTATCGACCGATCAATTTTCAGACTATATATATTTCTCTATATATCTCCCACAATCTGTTCATAACGATGTCTCTATCTATCGATCACAGTCTGTTCATAACTTCATATCTATCTATCGATCTATCTCTCTCTTCTCTCTCTCTCTCTCTCTATATATATATATATATATATATATATATATATATATATATATATATATATATATGTTCATTTCATTTTTTATATCTATATCTATCTATGTTTATATCTATCCGTTTCATTGGGTATCTGTCTGTCAATTTATACATCTATCTGACTACAATCTGTCTGTCAGCCTCTCCATATCTATCTATCTATCTATCTATCTATCTCAATCACTTTATCTCTCTCCCTCTGTCTCTTCTTGTCCATCCATCCATTTCATCCATCAAATCTCTTCCTCCTCTCTGCCCTTTTCTTCAGCTTCCTGAGACAATAAAAGACTGTCCCTTCTTGTTCCTTTCCATTTTTTTAAGTGCTTCTCTTCTGTTCCTTCTTTTATTTTTTGTTCGATTTAGCTCATCATTCCGTTAAATGCGATTTCCCTGAATGGTGCACGTTCAATCCCAGTGCTTGACCATTGTAGCGTTTAATAGAATTCTTTACAATTAGGAAATAATATCCATATGTGGGCATCTTACCTTAGAGAGTAATGGTTAATGAGCAGGCTAACTGATCATTACTACCGTGCAGCTAGAATGATCACAAATGTCCAATACTAAAGGCTTAGAACCTCTTACTGTCTCCCCATATATATATATATATATATATATATATATATACGTGTGTGTGTGTGTGTGTGTGCGTATCTGTGTGTGCGTGTGTGTGTGTGCTCCCTTACCCATGTAAACAGTGCAATGTTTATACATTGAAATGGTCTGGTAATCCTCACTGAAGACGTGAAACTTCCAGTCATCATGCAGTGTTGATATCTATGTCCACACTGTTTATAAAAAAAAAAAAAACAAATGTGTGTATAGGTGTGTGCGTGCTGCACATATATATATATATATATATATATATATATATATATAGAGAGAGAGAGAGAGAGAGAGAGAGAGAGAGAGAGAAAGAGAGAGAGATGTATAAAGCTTTCGAAAAAACACTCTAGATCTGGTGGGCATATTTAAAATCCGACAGACACCAACGGCACTAATATTTATATATATATATATATATATATATATATATATATATATTAGTCATCGGATGATGAGGTAATTTGATTTAAGGCGACGTCTTATCCTTAGAGATCCCAACACATTCCTTTTACGTCCAGTTTTGTCTTTCTTTTTATTTTATTCTGAAGAAGCCGAACGCAGCAGGCGTTCTTTCGGCGTAACGCGTCGTTTATAGATTTTCCACTTTGTCTCGTAATCTTCACTTCTTGGGATACTATTTATACAATTGGACTTTCCCCGATATTGAGACCAACTCCTTCTGTATAAATATAGTAAATTTTAAACGCCATTCCGGTATGTTTCTTTGTAATGTTCTACTTGGCATCAATCGACCAGCAGAAAACACCCCCTCAAAAAAAAAAAAAAAAAAAAAAAAAAAAATTAAAAAATAAAAAAAAGATGCTTCCCAAGCATTCCACATCCGTTTTTCATAATAAAAATGTTTAAACACTGTATTGATGCCTAAATATCTTATGTTTCAAGCACACACACACACATGTCACTTTATAGAGCCATGTACACTAACGTAATTTGATCTAAGATTGTTATCGGAGTTTCTCCGTATCACTCGCCTTGTTTTACGAGAGGAAAATTTATTGATAAGCTCGACTAAATTTACTTATTCAATGAAGAAGAAAAATATTTGTATAAATAAAAGAATTTAATTTTAATTAAAATTTTGAACATATACGTCAGTTTTTCTCACCCCGACCACCATCCTATGTTTTCTCCTTATTTCTTCTCTCCATCTTATCTACCTTAACACAAAAAAAACTAAAACATTTCTTTTTTAAATGACAGTTCTTTTGTTGTGGGTAACATGTATTTTAATACTGACTTTCATATTTTAAAATTACTGTTTTATTTTAAAAATAAAAAGAAACATACAGTCTTTGCGAGCATATTGGTAATGGAGTCACTCATATTTCAAATAGGAGTAAGGACAGTTATGATATTTCGGGGTCCCTAAGCTAATGAAATTATGGGGTACACCTCAGACGCACCCGACTTGAATATTTTTTACTCGTGATATAGTTCAGCGACATTTTCATAGCTTGAAGTATAGTTATTGTGAATTCTTTATATAAACTAGAATAGCTATTTTTTGTTTGTAAAAAAAATAATTTAATAAATAGCACTATTTTAATATTTATTGCAAACCACATTAGCACATATTTCAGAAGAACTCCAGTAAAATAAAAATAGATTTTTTATAACTAATATTATAACAAAAAAATATATAAGAGGATTTTGTAATATTGATAGTATTTCAGTTTATGAAACTATTTCGAAGTTATAACATTTAGAAAAATTAAAATAATTGCTTCATAAAATTTTCGAGATTTAAACATTCTGAACTAAAAGCAAACATGACATCTACTCGAAACACAATGACACAAACTAAAACTTTCTTTTCCTTTCATTGTTTCCGGCGAAGTCAAATAAATAAATAAGAGGTTTTCTTAATGTTATAATTTCAGTTCTAAAGGATAATCCGGCCTTGGGTTCTAGGCTGAAGACTATACTAGCCTAAAGGATAATCCAAGCCTGGGTTCCAGGCTGAAGACTATACTAGCCTAAAGGATAATCCAACCCTGGCATGTAGGCTGAAGACTATACTAGCCTAAAGGATAATCCAACCCTGGATTCTAGGCTGAAGACTATACTAGCCTAAAGGATAATCCAAGCCTGGATTCTAGGCTGAAGACTATACTAGCCTAAAGGATAATCCAAGCCTGGATTCTAGGCTGAAGACTATACTAGCCTAAAGGATAATCCAAGCCTGGCTTCTAGGCTGAAGACTATACTAGTCTAAAGGATAATCCAACCCTGGCTTCTAGGCTGAAGACTATACTAGCCTAAAAGATAATCCAAGCCTGGGTTCTAGGCTGAAGACTATACTAGCCTAAAGGATAATCCAACCCTGGGTTCTAGGCTGAAGGCTATACTGGCCTAATGGATAATCGGACCCTGCGTGGGTGAGTAAGATACACGTGACCAAAATTTTATCTTTGTGTGAAAGGAACATGTAACATATTGAAAGAAAAGATAAAGTGAAAAATAGATTAAATGACAAGTTTCATTTCTTTATATAATTTTGCTAGTTATAAAATCAAACATAAGTAGTTACTGCATCTTTAAGTGTCAGTATTGCGAGCCGTGTTTATTGATTTGTTCGTATATGGCAGTTTTTTTTTTCTTTTTTTTGCCAGCAATTTCTACTTACTGAAACGAAAAAGAAATACTGTGACGCTAAATCTAAGCAAAGTATAAGGAGAGAACATTATTAGAAACGAAGTCGAGAGTCCTGAACTGTTACGTGATATCTGTCCTCATGTGTAACTGCAAAGGCTCGACAACTTCTTCAAAGATGAAGAAGGGACTTGAAGCAACAGAAATGGTGTTCTACAGAAAGATGCTGAGAATGCGATGGACCGAACATGCGGGCAGCAATGAAAGAATGAAAACAAAAAGGAAACTTATACTTCACTTCAGGAAGAGTTCGTTGAAATTTCTGGGGCATGTAATGAGAAAGGAGGGTCTGGAAAGTTTGATACTCACAGGACGGATAGAGAGAAAGCGGGACAAGGGAAAGCAAAGCGTGACATACTTGATGGGTTTGAGCAAATGAATGGCAGAACAGTGACTGGGAGAAATAAGAAAAAGACTAAATATGTTTTATTTTTTTTATTATTTCACCCAAAGAACTAAAAGGGACAGAAAGATGTGGAGCGCCATGATCGACTACGTTCTAGAGGGACACGACACAGGAGAATGCAGTCAGGGATAGGCAAGAAAAGCTGTAAATAGAAGGAAGGAAGGAAGGAAGGAAGGAAGGAAGGAAGGAAGGAAGGAAAAGAAAGAAAGAAAGAAAGAAAGAAAGAAGCAAATAAGAAGGAAGGAAAGAAAGAAGCAAGGAAGGAAGGCGGGAATTAAGAGAGGAAACAAGGAAGGAAGGTAAGAAGGAAGGAAGGAAACAAGGAAAGAAAAAGGGCAGGAAGGAAGGAACGAACGAAAGAAGGAAAGAAAGAAAGAATAAAGGAAAGAAGGAAGGAAAGAAGAAAGGAAAGAAGCAAGGAAGGAAGTGAGAGAGGAAGGAAGGAAGGAATTGATGGAGGGAGGAAGGAAGGAAATAAGGAAGGAATGAAGCAAGGAAGGAAGGAAAAGGGGAAGGGAGGAACGAAGGAAGGAAGATAAGAAGGGAGGAAACATGGAAGGAAAAGAAGGAAGGAAGAGGAAGAAAGGAAGGAAGGAAGGAAGGAAGGAAGGAAGGAAGGAAGGAAGGAAGGAAAAGAAAGAAAGAAAGAAAGAAAGAATCAAGGAAGGAAAGAAGCAAACAAGACTGGAAGGAAGGAAAGAAAAAGGGCAGTAAGGAACGAACGGGCGAACGAAAGAAAGAATCAAGCAAGGAAAGAAGGAAAGAAGGAAAGAATCAAGCAAGCAAGGAAGGAAGGAAGAGAGGGAGAGAAATAAACGCCCGAAATGGCATCTAGCAGCAGCCTAAAGTACATGGAGCCCTATTTTTTTTTCTACTGACTTCTTTTCTCAATGAATGTGTTTTAAAAACCTTAACCCACAACCTTAACTTAAAAGAATTGAAGGCAGGTGAATATCAAAGATAAAAATAGAATAATACAAAACTAAAGCGTCAATCATTAACAACAGCAATAACAGTTCCCCCAATACCCAACAAGAGAAATACTACGAAATGTTGTCTTGATATACAGCAGACCACAAGGAAAGGAAAGAAGAGACGAATAAAAAACAGGGACGATAAACAGGAATGTGGTAGTAGAAAGAAGAATCTAGAATAGTCACAAGGGCGGGAAAAATGGAGAAAGGTGGCGGTGGCGGGGAGAATGTCGTTTCAAAACAAAGCTAGGTAAAACAAAACACGAAATATTTGTTTGTGGCAAAATGCGAAATATACTCACATGACAACACTTGAAATTAAAAACATTGGATTTTTGACAAAGATAATTTGTAATATTGTTGGGTTCTAACGTCATATTGCATGCGCAATAATAAATATTAAGAAAAAAAGAGAAAAATATGTTCTTTGGGTGATTAAACCGCCATTTTGCTACATGTACCCGCTTTTTTTTTTAATTTAATTACATCTATCGGTTACTATGGAGATGTAGATTAAGTTTCGAAGAATTGTTGTTTTTTTGTTTGTTTAATTATTGTGTTTATTTTTTTTATTTTTTATTTTTTTTTAATTATGACAAAAAAAAATGATAACTTGCACCAGCCGTGTTTTTGTGGGTTCTGACGAAAGAAAAATGTTTGTTTGTTTAGCGGCATATCAACACCTTATGGGTCATTTATTGCCGACATTTTATTTTCTTGGAAGTATTAGTAATTTACTCTACAAAAATGTATTGTTGGTAATTTTTTATTCTGAAAATATTGCTGGTACTTTTACTATAAAAAAATATGTATGTTTATACTTTCGCAGTGTTTTTGACCCCAGTTTGGGGGTTCGTTATTTAACCATAGTTCGGTTCCTAACAGGTGCTACTACCCCGAGTCTGGGTGGAGCTGGGAACAACCGCAATTAAGAGGTGATTGCACGCTCTTCAAAACTTCCAATCTCCCGATCAAGGGCCTTGCTGCCGGATGTAGTTTCTCGTCATACCCAGGACAGAAAGCTCACTGGATGCGCCCTACTTTTGGCCTTGTGCCACATCTAAGCTACACTTAGAAAATCATTACAACGGACGGGAGAAATGTGTTGAAGAAAAATGTAAATTAAATTTTTGTGTTTATATATATATATATATTTCTTCTCCTTGTTCTATAAGAAAATTTAATCGAGTTTATCAATGAACCTACTTCTCGTAAAAACAAGGCAAGACATACGACGGAAACTCCGATAACAATCTGAGATCAAATGACATGGTTCTATAAAGTGACGTACGTGTGTGTGTGTGTGTGTGTGCGTGTGTGTGTGTGTGTGTGTGTGTGTGACTGCTATACAAATAATATGTGTAATGTCTATTACGATAACTTTAAAATTAGGAACGCTTTGAAAATGAACATAATTATATCACCTTGACTAATAACCGTGTATAATTAAAAAAAAATGTTAGAATTCTTTAATTTTCCGTTTGTGATTATAACTGGTGTGTGTGTGTGTGTATTTATACAAGTTTTTTTTGGTCATATTTAAACTAGTTATCAGTCATATTTTAGCGCCCCCATATATGCGAGCGAGCGAGCGAGTGTGGGGTGGGGGCAGTTCATTCGTGAAAGACGTATTGAAGAATACATTATC